GCACACACACAAAAAAAGCGGGAAAAGAAAAGACTACAAGAGCGATGATTCATGCTTCTATTCGGATAGACAAAATTGATAGGTGAAGCAGGAGGGAGAAGAGTCAGAGAAAGAAAAAGGAGGGAGAAAAAGAGAGAAAATGAAAGAGAGATAGAGAGAGAGAGGGTAGGAGGAGAGAGAGAGAGAGAGATAGATAGATAGATAGATAGAGAGAGAGAGAGAGAGAGAGAGAGAAAGAGGACGAGATAGACAAAGAGGGCGAGGGGGAGAAAGAGGGCGAGGGGAGAGAGAGAGAGAGAGAGAGAGAGAGAGAGAGAGAGAGAAATGAGAGTGAGAACGATCGTTATAGTTTTGTGTGCATTTGTGTGGTTGTGGTGTGGGGAGTTAAATTTGATAATTCAAGAAGAAAACTGTCGGCATCAATATTTCCCCACGTCCAAAATTAGTAGGTTAGTAGGTCACAAGTAAATAAGAGTCACACAAGTCTTTCCACAATCCAGTAACAATAAGTCCCACAGATAACGTCTTGAACATAAACGGCCATGGCATGAGAAACAAAAGTGCAGTAACACTCACGGTGCAAAATGATGACTTGCACGAAAATTTTTTTAAATGTTAAAGCATGTGAAAGAGCCATTCATTTTGTTGTTGTTGATAACACTTCGCAGTCACATCTCGCTGATTGGCGATGTTTACCACCCAGTTTCTTTGGATTTCCCCAAAATGCCTTTGCCTTTGACGGCAAGGGTTTTTTACTATGAGCCTTGTGATGGCAAAGTGTTACGGGCAAACTCCCTATTAAAAAATGTGTAAAAAAAAACCTTCTTCAGCAGGTCATCATTCCCGCAATATATGTGCACCACTGAAGTTTTATTTTATTTTTATTATTCATGCATTGGCCCTAAAACAGAACACCCATAACCAGTGAGGTTTCACTGCGCTTGCAACACTGCACAAGGTTATATGAACACACGATCAGTATGTGAAAAAACAAACAGACAAATAGCAGTCGCTACATAACTAAAGTATTGCGTGATGCCAGAGGATATAGGAGACCTACACTACAGCACTTGCTCATCATGGGGGGGCAGCTGAGAACTGACGTCGTTTTACCAGCCCAGCCAAAACAAGAAGAACCTCCCAGCTTAAAAGCTGTTTATTGTCAAGCCCAACTACAATATAAACTGACAGAGCCCATTTGTAGGAATTTGTTCCCCTATAAATTCTGAATAATTAATTCAGCCCCACAAATTCAAAGCCTGGAATATTAACAGAGGGGAAGTCCCAGAACTAAGTTGTTCTTTTCAGTTGACCAAAGCCCAGATGTGTGACAATTCTATCAAGGATATCTCCACCAAAAACAAAACTGAAGTAAAAAGTAAAGTTGTACAAATTAGTTTTATTATTGTTTTTTTTTCTCCATACAATTAAATTAAACTTAAAATTTCATAATTGGCTATACACAAAGATGAATTATTCAATTAAAAGATTCAGTTAGAAAATACGCTGTGTCCAAAAACGATTTGTAAACACACTCCTACTGTGCCATTGAGAAATCACACACTCAAAGAGTGGATTTTAATGGCAAATTCCCTCTCTAGATCTTGAAATTATAAATATTTACACTGAACGTGCACTGAAATAATATATAAATTAAAAACAAAGAAGGCCAACATAAAATAAAAACTTGTTGCAATATTCACCCATGGGGGAGTGTTGAGCATCGAAAATATTCACTATAGAGAAAAAATCGAAATATGTTTAGTAAAATTGTTTTTAAAATTTGTGAATAGACTGAAAAATTAACAGCAAACTTGTAAGCTATGCTATAATGTCTCACTCAATTTCAAGAACATTAATCTATACTATACTTTTTCTTGAAATTAGGAACTCTAAATCATCCTTAGCTAAACACAGGGGAATTTTGAAATATTTGTGTTTGAGGAGAAACAAACATTTGTTTGTATCCACATGCTTGGAACCCCCCATCACCACTAACAAACGGAGCAGCTGTAAGCATTACACATTGAAAAGTCAAAAAACTAAAAACTTTTAATGAAAAAAAGATAAGCAATGATCAATCAGCCACAAAGTTCTGTTGCAATGTGGAGTTATTAATTAAGATAAGGTCATTTAAGTCGCTATAATAATTTTAAAGATTACAGTACAGTTACATGGAATTATCAGACATTATTAACAAGAGGGGGAAATTGTTAGCATCCACAGGACATTACTCAACCTGCTCTTACTGCCCCCTATCTAAGACTCATATTTTGTGCATAAGCAACCACTTCACATCCCCCCCCCCCCCCCCCACCCGGCAATTTTCCACACTACAAGACACTGTTCAAGACGTCAACCTGTCTAAGACAACTACTTTTCTCCTCCTCGACAGAATTAGTGAATGTCTTAGACAATTTCTACGGTATATTACTGTACAATTTTAGGTAAAAAATGAAAGTCTGACAAATCCTCAGCATCTACAAAGTTTAGTTACAAAATTCACTTGAATTTTGTTTATCTCCTATGGGAAGGGGGGTGGGGGATGAAGGAGGAGGAAGGGGATGCGCAAATTAAGGTATTACAATACAACAAATGGACCAAACACCATTGGACAAGGAAGGGGGGAGGGGGCAAATTAAGGAAAGTATTCTGGTACAACAAATGGACCAAACACCATTGGTAGGTGGGGTTGGGCGCAAATTAAATTAAGGAAGGCATTATGGTACAACAAATGGACCAAACACCATTGGTCGGTGGGGATAATTAAGGAAGGTATTATGGTACAACAGATGGACCAAACACTGCCCGGACAACAGTCAACGACACGGGGTTACTGTGAGCATCGTAGCGATATTCACCTATATCTCTCTGGCAAGCTATGAAGGCTTCGTGCTACCTGAGCTGTGCAGATGGGAGTGGACGCGGGACGGGTTGGGCGAGCTGCGGACGGTCAGTGGCGAGTGGCTGCTGGCCAGGAAGTGGTGCGGGTTGGACGATGGAGAATCACAGATCAAGTCTAGGTCAAGGTTGTTTTCTAAGTCATCGTCCCATACGGGGTTCTGTGGAGACGGAGAGGGGAAAGAAAAACTCTTTAATTACAAACTACACAGAAAGCAAAATTCCTCAAACTATAACAAGTCACATTTACCCACAAAGAATAAAAGCAAGAGATGCATGAATGATTTAAGTTTGTAAGTATTATGACAATACACCAGGGTATTACAAATGATTTTTATAAGAAAGTATTAAGACAATATTTAGGTGCGGTAAGTGCTGACAAATATTTCAAACGCATTCTATAATAAATCTATAACATTCTTAATAGCACATTGTAATACTCTACCATTTCAAAACTAAAATAGTAGTAAACTGAAAGAAGAAAAAAAAATCCCCCATTTTTTTCTCCTATTTGAGCGCCCTGGCTAAACCAAAAACCCATTTAATTAAACCGAAGAAAATCCAGTGGTACTGTATACATTTCAGCTAAATTACTCTGTCGTAATTCAATAAAGAATAAAATGGTTGGCCTCCTGTTACGAACGTCACCTAGCCAGCCAGCCTCAAGAGCCTATATACACTAAATACTCAGTCTACAAAGGAAGCGGTAGGCCAGGCAGAATATGGATTGAGGGAGTCAAGGGACTTCTGAGAAACTACAACTACAACATCTCAATAACTGAAAGAGCTGCAGAGTAGGCCTACTACAGAAAATGGCATCCTCCCTCAAAAACTCAATGACAAAAGAGAATGTAAAAGTAAAAAAGAAGGTCATTTTCTCATTTTAGAAAAAAGGAAAAAATTGGTTTCAGCTTTCACAAGGCCTGTCCATTCCCTCCAACACTCAAAGACAACAGAGGATGAAAAAGTAAAAGTTAAAGTAAGTAATTTTCGTTTGGGGGGGAAATGGTTTCAGCTTTCTTCACCAGGCCTACCTGTAAGACAATATCGGTCAAGACGTCGCTGTTAAAAGTGACGTGTTCCTCTAGAGAGTGCAGCTCCGCGCTGTCCACCCTAAGCGGCGTGTGGCTTTTCATGGGAGTCGTGTACTCTCCCCTTACCACCGGCGACTGCTCCTGCTTCATGGGGGAGTACTCCTGCTTCATGGGAGAGAACTCGTGCTTCATGGGACTCAAGTATTCCGTCTTGATCGGAGGGTGATGGTTCTGGAATTTCTCTAAGCGGCTGGAGAATTTGTCCACCTTCATCGGAGATGACTCATGGTTGATGATGGCAGGGGAGAACTCTCTCTTCGTCGGGGTGACCTCGACCTTCAGTGGGGAGCAGGGGGAGGAGTCGGTGTTCTTTTTCTTGGAATAGTGAAGTCCTGCCTGGCCTTTCTCAATGGCCTCAAGGTTTTCTGTTTCAAGAGACAGAGTAAAAACAAGTAATGAATACACATCACCAAAGACTACACACACATTTAAAAAAAAGCAAAAAACTTTTCTCTTCACTTCTATAATGGACAACTTTGGACAATTCCTAAATAAATCAGGGTTGCTCTGGGTCTTCCCCTACCTCATTTGGACAATTTTGACTGCATTTGAATCTTGATGTTTTCAGACAAGAGGAAGAAACAGGGAAGTCATTATGATATTTTGGGGGGGGGGGGGACCCATTTTCTGACGATTTGGAGGAAGATTCTCTTTATTTGTAATTTATTGAGGTAGGTATTATACAAAGTACTGACGTCCAATTTATACAAAGTCAACAAAAGATAAATCTTTTCAGATAACAATTACAGACTATCCTAGATGGGCACCCACTGTCCAGGACAAAAGTGGTTGTCTTAGACAGATGGGCGTCTTGGACGGTGTTACTGTGACATTCTTTTAAAAAACGCAAGGGGGGAAATGTGAAGTGGTTATATGGGCAGATGACTGTCTTGGACAGTTTGCCGTAAGAGAGTATGTTTGACTGTAGCTCTGCAGTTCTTTTCTCTTTTAACATTTAACACTTTGCAGTCACACAGCCAGCAGTACAAAATGCCCCATCTGGTCACCCAACCAGGACAGTGACTATAACGGACTTGTCGCAGAACAGCACCAAGTGACCAGATCAGATAATTTTCACAGTCGTATTATTGCGGCAAGTGATCGTAATGTGATAAACCAAAAAGAAAAAGAAAATCCTATAACTATAACTAAAGCAGAGCAGACGTTCGCAGTCACATGACCTTATGCAGTTGCAAGCGCTGTAAAACTCTTCCTAAAACTACCACTAAAGAGCAGACGTACCAGGATAGGCCATGCTGCTCAACAGGCCGGCCGGATCCTTCTTCCCCCATTTGGAGATCTCGTCCTCCATTTTGGCGATCTTGGCGGGGTTCAGCGCCCACAGACAGCCCTTCTTGGCCCCCTGGCTCAGCTTGGGGTTCTCCACTTTGGCGAAACATTTGTTGAGGGACAGGTTGTGCCGCACCGAGTTCTGAAAACAGAAACGGGGGGGGGGGGGGGGGGCATAAGTTCTATATAATCATGGATATCAACATCCGTGATTTACAAAGAGAAAGGAGAAAAACCCCCCATAAGTTCTATACAATCACGGATACAGAACTCTGTGATTTACAAAGAGAAACGAGGAAAAAAACCCAATAAGTTCTTAACAATTACAGATACAGATGTCTGTGATTTACAAAGAGAAATGAGGAAAAAAAACCAACATAAGTTCTAAACAATCGCAGGTGCCTATGTCTGTGATTTACTAAGAAAACAAGTTGGTACAATACAAAAATCTTTTAAAATGAGATAAAGGTAGGCGCTTTTACATCTCCAACAACACAATATAGATCATTTTGGAGGCAGGTCAACCTGGACTGAGAGGGATACAACATCTCAAGATAGTCAAAAAAATGTTCTCCCCATAGGGAATTGAGTTTTAGTTTCCTGCATGCAAAAGTGAAGTGCCTTACAGCCACAACACAGACACAGGTGGAAAATTTTAAAAACCATTGCTATCAAACTGTTGGTCAAACTTAGTTTTAAATTACTAATATGTGTAACAAAAAATAATACATTATAATTATATGAGGGTTTTTTTCTCACAATATTGGGCTTCAAAAATGTTTGAAAAAATTCATTGCAATTTATTTTTAAAAGATATAGCACTGGTTGCATGCACTCAAGAAATATTTTGTCTAAATTCAAGTCTAAAAAGATGAAAAAAAGCTAGAAAAACAATAAATATATATTGTAGATCTATAATGGTTAAAAGAATGGAAGTTATTTTTCTCTCCTGAAAAATTTTGCTTTCTGGGATTCAAAAGCAATTGAAAAGCTTGCCCATGTACTGTATTTTCAGAGAAATCTGAGCATAATAATGTTTTAAACGCCTCTTCAGGCAGCACATATATATCATATAAAAATGTAATTCACATCATGTACTTACTTTCCACCCATCTGGTGCAGTCTTGAAGTAAGGGAAATTCTCACTGTTTGAGGAAATACAATAAATTAAGTGTATTAAAATCAAGCACAATCACAAACTGGAAAAGATATAATAATTAAAAATCAAGCATGATTTGAAGAGATAGTAGTTCACAGCGCAAACCATACACTCCCAACCACATGACTATACAAATCTAATTTTTAAAACACAATATGAGTATTTCCATTCATCTGCCTGTCCTTTCTACTAACTTCTCCACCACAGTCCATGGAAAGCGTGACGGTGTGACTACAAAGTGGTGACCTGATACACATTGAAAGGGCATTATTTACAAGTTGCCCACTCCACTGATTACCCCCCCCCCCCCCAAAAAAAAATGTTTTAAAAAAACCAACCCCCCCCCCCCAACATTTTAGGTAACAATTTTTACAAATTTCAAATCTCATTTTTAAAGAGTAGAAATCCACTTCCAAGGTGGAAAAATCCAAGGTACGGGGAATTATACCCATGTTTTGTTTGGCAAAGCTTTAGACGCCTACTTTGTGGTTACATAAGATGGTTCATCCTAATCATCAGGGGCTAGATCTGTGATAGACATCGGTTTGTTTTTATAATAAGAGTTTTGCAGATCTTGCAACACAATAAGGTTATAAGTGCCGAAGATTAGAGTAGGTGTTACAAGAGAGTAACAAATATAGAAAAGAAGAAGGGGAGATAAGGACAATAGATGTTTCATAGGAAAGAACACCCACCAGGTTGCTCTGGGTCTTCCCCTACCTCATTTGCCTTGATGGTTACACAAAGAATAATTTACTCTACTGCTCATTTGTGTGTTTGTTTGTATGACCAAAGATATAACCACATCAATCAACACAGTAATGGCCATACAGTGCAGGGAAGAAACAAGACAGGCAGAAACAACAAGGGTAACGAAAAGAAGCAGGACTGATCGATAAGTGGAGCCCTCCAACCATCCACTCCACTGCTCACTCTTCCCTCAAAGACAAACAAACAAAAAACAAAGAACAGATGTACACATACAGGACAAGCATTGCACACACAAAGGAAAAACACAGACATAAAGAGTGTAACCGCAGCATAGTCTTTAGAGCAAGGGTTCAAAGGTCAATGTTAATGTATGCGCATGCACAGCTTGCCTTGCATGACAAAGTTAAACAACCAATAAAAGTTTATTACTGGAGAAAGGAAGAGTAGAAGAGCCCTGTATTAGCTGATCAGGACAGACCAGTTTGCTATCTCTGGCTCTACAGCACAGACTGCTGGGACAGCTTCTTTTAAATTTTTAGTTGAGTTGAGTTTTAGTGAGTTTTATGGCACTAGCAAAAAAATTTGGAGTTATTAAATTATTAAAGCATTCAAAGAAAAGGAGGACAGATAGAGACAATCGATGTCTGATAGAAAGCAGGAGCAAACCACAAAACCACACTAGAGCACCCGCCAATCACCCACGCCATGACAGTAAGATTATAGAATTTATTCAATTCTCTTCATTTGCACAAACGCAAGCCAAAATGAAGATGCAGTAAAAAAACAAAACAAAAAAAACAACAACAACAAGAAAATATAGATCTACTAACTACTGAGCAGAAAAACAGAAGAAAAAAAAACCCTGAAACATGCAGACTTTTTAAGATCAAACAAATCGTGATACAAAACTGACATAAACAAATAAAGAAAAGTGACATGAACTATATTGCAATAAAATCATCAGAGTGAACCCGAAACGCACCACATGAAGTTGTAGATTTCACTGACGGGCAGGCTTCCGTTCTTGCTGTTCTTCAAGGCCAGAGCGATGAGACAGCTGTAGGAGAAGACGGGCTTGGGGTACGCCCGCTCCTCGCAGTTGGTGGTGGACGACACGGTTGCTGTATCAGACTGTGTTGTGGACGTCGCGTTGCCTGCCATGTGCTGTTGGTACATCTGAGGGGGAAAATGGATGTATGTTAGGTTTTTTTTCTTTGTTTTGTATGGGTATTTTTTTTCTTTTTTCTTTCACAAAATAAAAAAGTGAGAAGATAGGCCTGTTGTGATGTGGAACGGAGTGGACCACCGACAGGCGCACACCACAAAGATGAAAAAGTGACAAGTGAAATGTAGAAATACAGGCAGACTTTAAATTGTAAATTAGTTCTGTTGAGTTCCCTTGTTATAGCAGCTGATTTTTCACAGCGGCAGGTGAAATTTAGACAGGTAGGAGGTAGGCAGACTTCAAATTGTGAACTTTGATTGAGAGTTTTGTTCATCAGTTCCCTCGATAAAGCTGATTTTTTCAGTGTTCATACGTTCTATTGCTTTGGCTGACTAAGGAGAGAAGCATTCACACAACACGATAACAGACATTCGTTTACTTCAAGGGAAAAGGAAGATAGACACAGTGAAATAAAGAAAGGAAAAAAGTAGGACCTGCCAGTAGCCTCCTCCAAAAACCACCCAGAGTAACAACTTGAGACCATCAGGAGGAAGTCATGTGTATACTGCCAGACAGAGGATCATGCACAAAGACAGACAGGCAGATAAACAGTCAAAGGGTAAAAGTCTAACAAGTACTGTGAAAAATGATGTAACAAAATATTATCATCATAAACTGTGTCAGACAAATTGTTTCAAGGATATCTTGGCCCTTACAGAAAAAATCCCAAAATTCTAATTCTTGCATGTTCTCAAAAACATATCCTTAACTATGAATAGAGACTACTTGCCCAAATGTGAAATTAATATCCATTCCAGTTACCTAGTCTTCATAAAATTAATCATCCATCCAGCCATATACACAAACTTGTAGCTAATGAAAGAATAATTTTTTTAAGGGGGCTCACGGGTGGGGTCCAGGGCCTCACGGGTCACTCTGGGCACTGTTTACTTTTTGGTATTTTCAGATCCTTCATTCCGTCTAGATTTTATTGACATTAGTTGCTGAGTGATTAGCATAGAATTAAATTTTACTGTGTTCTGTGTTGTGTACTAACATTTTTTTAGGTTTAACCTTGTTTTTCTAAAAACACACTTTTTCACCACTTTTTGCTTGCATATGCAGTTGTTTTTTTCTCCACCATTTTTACATTTTCCAACAGACTTGAAATTCGGCATGTAGTTAGAGAAATGGTTTGTACTTGTAGTGGGCTGGTTAGTTTTTTACATTTTGCTATATTTTTTTTCTCTACAATTTTTTTTTCATGTCAAAAATATTTTTTAAAGATCAAATTCCATATCCCCAATTTTGAGAACAATTTTGGATACTTTGTAAGTATAGTATAAAAAATCAAAATAGCCAGCTGCAAGCACCTATTTATTTGTGACATTTTGAAAGCTACAGAATTTTAAAAAGTTAAAAACTAGAAATGGTAGAGAAAAAAAAATGTATATCCAATTTTCAAGTGGCCACTGTTTCCATGGCAACGGCTTAGGTAATCAAGTGTGTCAACAGTTGAACATGAATCTTTTGTCTCATACTTACTTCCTGTGACAAAAGTTGTTTCAGTTTGTTTTTAAGTTACAAAAGTTGTCCTATAAGTATCGAGCCCCCTTAAAAGATTTGTTTTGCCAGCCCCCCCTAACAGTCTAATACACACAAACATCTGTCTCTACCTGTGGCGGAACGCCAGTCTGCAGTCGGCCCAGCAAGACCGGAGAGGCTTGGGACGGTGACAGAAGGTTGTTGCCCGACTTCAGCAGAACGCGGCCGCTCTTGTCCGTGGAGATGGCGTGCAGCTTCTGCGGAGAGGACAAGACAAACTGCGCCTGCGGGGACTGGGCGATGGTGCCCGTGTGGCTCAGCGAGTTGGTGGTGGTGATGGTGAGACCCTGGGGGAGGTTCCCGTTGGCTGGACTCAGGACAAAAGTTTGCGGTTTGTGCGGAGAGTCTCTGGAAGACGTGATCAGAAAATTCTGTGTCTTGACCGGCGAGTTGTGACTTACGGGTGTGCTGGCAACCGACAAAATCCGGATCGTTTGGTGGTCCTGTCGAAGGACGTTCTGAGGCGTGGACGCCTGGGAGAGTTGCACCCCTTGGTTGGGCGACTCCTCGGGAGAAGCGAGCAGATTGCTGCAGTTGGCATGTAGACGCATGGCCGCGCTGTTGGCGCTCTCCGACGACATGAGGTTCTCGGGCTTCTCGCGCTGAATAATTTGCATGGGTAGAATGGACTGGGGGTTTACGGTCACCAGATTGGTACCGTCAGAAGTGTCCTCGTTGTCTAAATGTGCCAGAGTGGCTAAAGAAGAATTGTGGAGCCAGCTCATGTCGCCAAGCTGCCCATTGCCTTCTAACGTGTCCAAATCCAGACTGTTTTCCATTTTCACATCCGACACCGTGCTGTGAAGTTCATCCGCCATATGTACCATGTCCGTGTTGGCGTTCATTAAAAATGCGTCTAAATCTGTCTTGTCAGTGTTGAGAAACAGGAGAGGGTCGTGTACTCGTTCTTGGTAGGGGTCCAAGTTTGGGTCCGATGTAATGTGACTCCCCATGACTGATGGTTTTTCAAGTTTTACAGCTATAGGTTCTGAAAAAACGAACAAGATGTGTTTATAATGAAAAAACTGGAAAATTTGCTAAAGTAGAATTTTTATTTAGAAGTACATTTTTTTCAGGAGGAATGTTTTCTCCTAAACGGTGATCAGGAGAAGTTATGAATTGGAATGCAAGTGTAGAACCAACCTTTCCATCCTCTACCCTACACTTCACTGGTACATGTAACATTAGCAGAGATCGAGACAATATTTGAAATGCACACAAGTTGTGACTCAAGTTGTGTACTTAGCAAGTATTTAACTCTGGCAAACTCCCACCTAAGTCTTAGAAGAGAAAAAAAAACATTCTAATTGCCAGCTAAAAATAAGTAGACCTAACCAGAATCAAAATGCTAGAATCATTTTCCAAAGAGGCGTACTTTCTAATACAAAAAGGAGTAGGCCTATTAGCCTACTATTATTCAAGTTTTACATGTCTACTAATGTCTAGCCCGACTTTCAAAATAAAAACACAAAAACCAGCCTGGAGCCACCAACCTCTATGCCATGCAAAAATGAAACTGGCAGTTTCCAGGAAAGCGGCAATAGCATCAGACTAACATGGCGAATTACAGGTCTAGCCTAGTTATAAAGTGCTACTACAAAATTGAATTCCCTACTCTAGATCAACACAACCCCCCCTCCCAGCAGCAAGCCTACATTAAAAGTCTAAAATGAGCTCTAACAGCTTGAGGTTGGTTTTAATTTTAACTTGAGACTTTACTAAGACAAATTCTCCAAAAAAAAACCCAAAAGCTCTGGTGAAGAATAAAGTCTTTCAGACTCAGAGTCTAGATCTACCATTCTCACTTTTAATCGTGTCCTGTGATTGTAATTGTAATGAATTGCACAATTTTAATCTAATAGGCTTGATCTCTTGGTCTCTAGATTTCTAGATCTACGTAATATAAGGATTGGATATCGAAATAATTCAAATATGATGCAGTTGCCGACTCCAGAAAAAGGCAAAAGTGCAAGGCTATTCACTATTCTCATAATTCTGATTCAATTCAAAAATTCAAAACAATAGTACCCGTAATGAATAGGCTAATTCTTATTTAATAATTAATTCTATTACACCAGGACGGGTGGCTGTTTTCAAGACACAAGATCGCGGCAGTTGAAAAGTAGAACACGACAAGTCTCACACTCTGGCATGGTACAGTTCAAGATAATAAGTGTAGCCTACAAGTACAACTCGGCTACACACTCATCAGACTTTTGTTGTCAACACATTGCCTACTAATAACACAAAACAAAAACATTGCTAAAAGAAAACAAATGGAGTCAATAGCTAGATCTATATTCTGACTTTTAATTGGTTAAGACCTTTCTAATGAACACAGCCTTGACACAACTTCATCAACAGTCAACAACTAATCTATCGTCTACTGGGCCCACAAACAACGTCCAAGGCTCTAGATCTACTATCTGGCCGGCATGGCAATCTACAACCAGTGCATGGCTACACACGGATAACTCGGCTTCTTTGACAACAAAGAAAGCATACGAAAACAATCTACTTGTATACAATGAAGGCATTGATTTTCCAAAAAGCCAGTATTGTTTTCTTGACAGTTGCTCCTAAGAAAAGTTCGCAACTTTCGAATTTCAAGTCCAAGTTCCGACTTTCGATTTGAAAAAGGAAACAACGAACAACATGGGGCGACTCGGTAAAATTTCGCGAACCATTTTGAACCGAACAAAAGCGAATTTCCTAAAAACAGTACTACTGCAACAATCTACAACGTACTCACCATCATTTCCAGTACTCATACAGAATTAGATCATCAAATCTCTTTTGTTTTTGATAATTAAAAGTTGTAAACACAACACACATGCGGCAAGAAATCCCCCGGCCGATGCGTAAAAGTTGTAGAAATTGGTTGGTCGGTTCATCGGACAAAGAAAGGTAAAACGTTCAAAATCCAGGCTTCTCATTGGTCGGGTGTTTCCGTCGTGGTTTAAAATGGCGTCTTCGATTGGCTCCCACGCTTGAAAACGAAATCAACAACATGCTGTGACAGGTGTGTTACATGTTACACCAAGTTCGAACTTCGGTTTCGTTTTTAAAAAATAATAATAATGAATAAAAGAAGACATTATTCAGCATTCAAGAGTTTCTATAGCTTATACTCACTGTAAGCACAGGAAATATCAGCCGAGCCCCGGACTGAACATTTGAAAATACTAAGTAGGTCACGGAGCCACAACACAAAGTCATGGTCAGTGTGTGTTGTATATTTAGCACACCAGCCTCAATGGCTTTGTTCCGTATGGTAGCCGTTCGATTGGTGGGTGACTCACATAGTACCTTTGAGATCGCAAACAAAAATTAAGTGAACGAACAGCCCAGTTTATTACTTTGCATGTTATGTATGCTACATACAAATGCAATATGGAGGCTAACATGTTTCTTGGTATAAATGTATAGTTCGTTTGCCTTCTTTTCATAGTTTGGGTTGAATAATAAGCTGTTTCGAGCGCGCAGTGACCTGGGCATGCTGCCATTCTCAACACTTGACCATGCGCTTGCCAGTAGTCAGTAGGCTAGAGAGCTATTGTGTGCTTTACTGCTGTTGGGCTTAGGTAAACTCCCCGTCACAGGTGCAAGCCTCACCTGGTGGCGATGATTGTGTGTGTGTGTGGTGGTTGGGGG